CTCTTGTCCTCCTCTTGTCCTTCCCTTGTCCTCCTCTTCTCATTCTCCTGTCCTCCTCTTGTCTTCCTCTTGTCCTCCTCGTGTCCTTCTCTTGTCCTTCTCTTGTCCTCCTCTTGTCCTCCTCTTGTCCTCCTCGTGTCCTTCTCTTGTCCTCCTCGTGTCTTCGTCTTGTCCTTCTCTTGTCCTCCTCTTGTCCGCCTCTTGTCCTCCTCGTGTCCTTCTCTTGTCCTCCTCGTGTCTTCGTCTTGTCTCTTGTCCTCCTGTTGTCCTCTGGCCACGCTGAAGCTGTTTGGGGTCTATGCTGGCATAATTTATATGTGATACCCCTGGAACACCCCTCAAAATAAGAGTATGTGTTTACTTTGTTTTCAGCTGACTTTCGATTTGATGTTTGGGAATGTTCTTTTGCATGTGTTGTTTGAGGCTTGTGCGGCAGTAATTATTGGACTTCGCAAGGAAACCACCTATCTATCAATCATTAGACAATGATGGAAATAGGATCAATTGCCCATGACTGCAAAAAGTGCAGATTTGGATCCAGAGCCAGATCAAGTTGGTTTCCACCCAGCAATTGTTGAGGAGCTGACATTGTGCTCGTGTGTTGCTATATACTTATGGATTTACATTGAAGTCAGGAAGCTGGTCATGGCAATAATCAATAATCATCATCATACCAGGCAAGGGATGACCACAACAGACACATATTTCACACAAGGTCTTTTTGCAGATGAACATGTAACTTGTAACATTATACAAGGTTAGGAGCCCAAACCCACCAAGGAAGCCACGTAGCTACGACCACCTGGGGTCAAAGAAGACTCGGGGTGAAAGACGTTTGGTTTTAGGCCGAAAGTTAGCGAGCATGAAACGCCATAGAGATTCAGAGCTGTGCCCAACAGAGAAGTCCATGGCATTGTGAGCTGGTGGACGCGCATGGCAGTGGTTCACTGACTATCTGGGTTTTATTCCAGGAAAGAGTGGATATTGGATCGAGAATGGCGATTCAGATGTAGGCGGAGCAGCATCAGCTTCAGATGCCCATCCAATCCACCATGGTTTTTGAGGCGCTGGAGGTGAAATGATGGGCGGGAGTGGCGGATCACAGACCAATTGGGTTTCATGAAGAAGCAACCATGACTCAATTTTGATGCAGATCAAGCCAAAGCGATTCTATAGAGAGCCCTTGGCTTTCAATAAGGTGAGAGCATTTCATGTGTTTGCTTCATGTGGGTATTCTGTCAAAATTTTTACAGTGCCTGTTCTTTTCTAACAGTGTTATTTTTCAGAAAACACTGATAGACTGATAGTTGCTGCTGTCGACATTCATGAACCACTCGGACCACTCCCAGACCACTCAAACCATACATGACACCGTGGCACACCACGTGTTCCAAATTGATGGGTTTTGATGGTTTTTGGTGAAGGCTCTAAAGCTGGGCCTTTCTTCATCCGAGGCTGTCGAAGGGCCCCAAGGTGCAGAGCGTCCTGGTCGACTTTGTGAAGAAACAATGTGCTGCTAACCAGGTATGAAGGCTGGCAACAAGACTAACAATTTGTTATTTCTTACTGTCGGACCCACTTGGAACAAGTTGGACACGCTTGCTTTGAACATGTTTTCAATTCGTTCGGGCCGTCGAAGCATCAATTACTGTACCAAAAAACTGCTGAATAGACTTTGACCGGTAATGCAAAAGGGTTTCAACGCGTTTCAGCAGTTGTTGCTGCTTGAATACTCATTTCAAGATTCGATGGGCAAAGTCAAGTCTATGGTCAGGGTTGACAACACGATTGTAGCACAACTACAACCAATATCAGATGTTGTTGTTTCCTCGCCCATCCCTAGCAGAAAGAGTCACGCAAGGGGGGGCCTTGAGGTTTCATCCATTTAAGCTGAGTGAAAGCAACCAATGGGATGTGTCAGTTCAATGTTGTTTGCTATCAAGTAATTTCCCGCGGAACCGAGAGGCAAACGTTTCAGGAAGGATAAATGCTTTTTGTTGGGCTGATGTGATTGTTGGCGTGGTGACAGGTGAGATGCTGTGAGCTGTGATGTTGTAATGTGATGTGAAATGATTTGTGGTATGGTGCTTTGTGGTGTGGTAAAGTGCAATGTGGGGATTTGTGTGGCGCAGTGCGGTGAATGTGGTTATTTGTGGCAAGGCAATGTGCTGACTTGTGTGGTCAGATTTTGTGGGTCTGTTTGGCAAAGTGTGCTGCGATGATATGGTTGTTTTTGTTATTCTGTGAAGTGTATCAGTGCACACTGTGTACATGATGGGGTCAGTTGAACAAGAGATCCAAGAAAAACAGGCAAAGAAGAAAATCCTGAAATTATGTGAAGCAAATAGTTTTTTTCATTGTCATCATAATGTGTGCCCTTCGGTCGTTTGAACCCTCAAAGTCCTCATGCTCCCAACTGGTTCGAATACCTGAAGCATCGCTCGATTGACGCCTTGATTGTTTTTGGTTGGAGCGCTCCCATCGCTTTCCATAAGACAGTGCATTTGAAGCAATTGGAGCTGGGTGGCTTTTGACTTTGTGCAGGTCAGTCAGGTGAGAAATGGTCGAGCGCTTGTTGGATTTTTCTGAACTTCAAGATGGCCGGAGGGGTTCTCAGGAACAAGACACAAATGAGAGCCCTGAGCCCTGACTGGCTATAAAATGATGTTGAATGTGCGAGCTAGACTCAGATGCTTTTTGCCGATTGCTGTTGTTTGTCATACGGGGTAAACAATGGTAAACAAGTACACTCACTTTGCGCGAAGTGGACATCCAGTTCCTGCAACTAAACCTAGACACAGCTTGCAAGCAAAACGCGTTGTGGCTGCGAAGTGTACACATGCGCTGTGCACTTGCTGCAATCACTATTTGCATACCATGAAGTTCTTGCTACAAAGGCACATGGAAGAAGTGTCGCAACTTTCATGCTTTGGTTGACATGAATGTGTAAGGTCTAATCTCTTTTTGTATGTGTTGGTGCCAGAACATTTACAGAAATGGTCGCCATTTAAGGCTCGATCCCCAATCCAGTAAACATTTGCATTTCACAACAGCTGCTTCACCAGCATTGGGAACAGGAACTCGAACCTATTGCAGCTTATCTCATCGTTTCATATTCTGTTCTGTTCATTTGCAGTTTTGCCTTACCATGGGAAATGCATGCTGCACCAACAGCGATGCGGAAAGTGGCATGGAGGTCCGGGTTGAGCAGTCCAGTAGAGAGGGTGATTGCTTTATCAGCACTGCAAGGACAAGATCCATCTTTCAATTGCACGTTTGTGCAGAGCTCACTTGATTTGTGGACCCAGTACCGTGGAAAGTCCGACAGTCCCTCACTCGTTGACTCGTGTGGCTCCATGTTGGGTTGGCCCACAAAGTCCACAAAGCAAGAAGTGCCACACAGGCAGAGGAGGCCCGAGACCCCAATGTCTTTGAGTACCAATGGTGTTTGGAATTGTTTGAATAAGTTATGTGGTCAGGTGGATAGAAGATCACGACGTAAATGAAACTGTGTGAATGCAACTGTGGCTGCACAATATGATCAATGTGATGACAGCTCAACTGTGGCCCCACTTAGCCGGCTCAAAGCTCAGTCACTTGCCTCACTGTCATTCACAGTTCAAAGCTCCGATAACCCACTGAACCTCATGAGCTTGCTAAATTCTCAGCAAACTCACAACCCGCCTTGCATCTCAACACGAAGCTTCAGCCAGCAATCCCGCATCAAACTTCCGCTACCACACATCACGCAAATCATCACGCATCACATCACCGCACTCACATTTGATCATCATCACGCACAAATTCACTATCTGAAGAACATTTCTCGGAGGGCTTGGCCATTTCCATCCGGACAGCTTGCTTCACTAAATACCATTAAATACCTATCATTTATATTCATGTGTATTCAGTTTTATATACCTATAGTTATTGATTCGCCCTGGTCGTACATGCCATGACATGCCCCTTGCCCGGCGTCAACACATCCTCCATTTGTAGCGCATGAGAAAATCATTGATCCTTTTCCTCGCCGCTTGAAGTGGGACAACGTGACGTCCAGACCCCACCAGCAAAATACACCTTGGCCATTGGCCAGGCTGCCAGATGACTTTGGCCGCATACCGGATCCTTCTTTGGCATCATGCTGTTCCCTTGACCTTACAGCTCACGCTACCCATGCTTACCTAGGATATCCTAGGATTGGCAGATTTAGTGATGGCTGCTTCAGGGTTTAGGAAGGGTTCCCTTAGATCTTATGATGTATCGTCCCAAGCTTGTGCCTGCGAGAAGATCTTCAAATGCCTGACAGATGAATGATATGAATTGAGCGTTGCATCACAGGCCCGCATGACCAGCCAACTCCAAGCGGACGCAGTGCGAGCCAGCTCTGGAGTTGCTACTTGTCCAGAAGGTTCACTTATTTTCTTCTTTTGAAGATTAATGTCAAGTTAGGATTAATCAATCCCCCCTAGTTAACCCGAGCCCACAAAGCCGCCAAAAATTGCCTAAATTAAAAGCATTATTCGCTGTTGATTTCCCCCCCTATGGTCTACTTTTCTACCAACAATCCCCGCCAGTTAATCCGAGCCCACAACCAGGTCAATTTTCGTATTGCTACTACTACTACTACTACTACTACCACTACTGTACTACTACTGTACTACTACTGTACTACTACTGTACTACT